AAAGAAAAAAAAAAAACAGGGCGTTATTCATAAACATCATATAACCGCAGACAAACGACCTATGTGCCATCAAGACCATATACACATATGTATGCACTGGACGGAGGCCAAAAAAAAGACCAAACCGCCAGAGTTGTATAAACAGGTTTTTGTGTGGTAAAGAATTAATTAATCACAAGCCATCCCACAGATCATCTGCTTCCAAGAAGCCCAAACAAGCATCGGGATTCTCGTCCTGCATGACGGCTACGACGGACCCCGCAGCAGTCGATCCCGAAACTAGCCGACGTGCATCGTCGACGGAGGTCGAGCTGGGGAGCCGGAGCCAATCATCCCGGGAGACGGTAAACGGGAGCCCGAGACTGGCTAGCGCGGATGTATCCATGTCTACATAGGTTGATTGCGAGAGCGCGCGCAGATGTCGGGGTGGGATTATTTCGGAAGGGGACAGTTGGACCCAGGACTTGGCGGCCGGGTGCTGGATGGCTGTGAGCAGGATGTCGAGGAGACGGACGGTGCCCGTTGGTGTAGATACTGTGGGGATTTGGTCGATGGGGACAAGCTTGTCGACGATGCGTGGCGTTTCCTCTGGCTGGGGGAGCGAGGCGACGGACTGTTGTTGACTGGCGCAGTCGTCTGATGTCGTTGAGGGGAATGAGGCGGTCGACATGCTCATTGGCGTGAGGACGTTGGATGCGGCGCCGATGGCGCCGCCGGGATGGAAGCTTTTGAAGATCTCTGCTGGGCCTCTTCCTGGAGATGTGTGTAGTCGTTGGGCGGTGGCGATAGCAGGGCATCTCCCAGCGACAGGGCTACCGTCGTAGACGATGTTGGGGCGGATACGCCGATGGATAACTCCTCGTCCTCGTGAATGGGTGCTGGTAGCAGGATGCCCATGTCGGATGGCTGGAACGACAATAAGGGGCATGTGGAGGGGTGGAGGTGAGAAGTTATGGCGATTATTGGGACAGTTGAGGGGATATAGGGGAGCAAAAGTAGGAGCTCAGGCGTGCGGCCTGAGAACGAAATCAACAACAGGGTATCTTGCTGTATAAGAGTATCAGTAAGCCTGTTGATCTAGATCATGATTATAATTCGACACTCACCGGTCTAATCATGCCCAGGTCTCCATGCAATGCTTCCGTTGGATGTAAGAATGTGCTGTAGATACCCAGGCTATTCATCGTCGCCTCGAGTTTTTGGGCAATCTTTCCACTCTTTCCTACACCACAGCATACCAATTTTCCTCCACTCCGCACGCTGCGAGTGATCTGGCTTACAGCCCGTGTAAGACTCTCTTGCGCCAACGGATTTGTTTCGTACAGCTGTTCCAAATGCGCTAGGGCGGCGCGCTCTGTAGAAATGACATGAATGGCGGTGGATACCGACGCATCGGTAGGGCCATCCTTTACAGTGGATAACGCAGGGTCTAGCACGTCTGGAGGCGTCAAGGATAGAAGCGACAACTCGTCGCGAGTGACGCGGTCTTTCTTTATCATGGTGGGCACGGAGGGGTCCGCGGGGGACGATAGCGGGATTATCGGCGATTGCTGCTGAAGGTGCCCCATGGCACAGAAACCATTCTCCTTCGGAGTCAAGAAGGACAGATCGTCTTCTCCCAGGAGGGGCCTGGGAAAAGAGGTCCCGAACGAAATCCCGGGGAAGCGAAGGAGTTTTTGAAATTTTCGATGGCGGGGGAGGAATCTTTAGGGAAGTGGAGGAGAATCGGTCTCGGCATGAAGTTTTGACTAATTAACCACTGGCTGCGCTACATCGGAGATACTACTTTAAGGCGCACTTCGGACTTCCTTTGATTGACTGCACGCTAACGCTCCAATGATTTAGTATCCTAAGAGTCCGTCCCAAGGACAAACAATCCCCTCCTTTAGTGCGTCCTCCGAGTCTCGGCTCCAATAGCTTCCGTCATGACACCATCGCCACCTGCGCTGACGCTTTTGCAGATCCCCGTACTGTACAAAATGGTTGATTGTTACTGTTACATTGCCATCTAGGAGATTAGTACTATACAAATATTTTTTTTCCAATTGTCTTTTGTTCACCCGTCATGCAACTCTCAAGCCTTGGAAATAGGCTTAATACCCTTGTGAATAGCCGCGATTCCGCCGGTGAGATTCTCGAATCCCCGGCCAGGGATCATGAAACCGGCCTTCTGAATCATACCCCGGAATTCTTCCTGGCTGGGGAACTTCTCGATACTCTCCACCAGATACTGATAGCTGTCCCGATCTCCCGCCACCAGTTGACCGATCATCGGGATGGCACTGAAACTCCACTGCTTGTAGACCGCATTGAAGACGCTGTTCTCTACCTTGCTGAACTCCATACAAGCGAACACACCACCGGGCTTCAACACCCGGAATGCTTCGTGTAAGGCGGCCTGTTTATCGGTGAAGTTGCGAATGCCGAAGACAACCGTGTAGAGGTCGACTGAGTTATCTGGAATGTCGGGCATGTGCTGGGCATTGCCCTGCATGAAAGATAAACGCTCCGTGTTGTAGTAAGGGGTCTGGATGCTCCGCTTTTTGCCCTCGGCAAGCATATCCGGATTGATATCCGCAATTGTGACACGGGTCTGATGGTCGTGGTTAATGTTAGTCGCGTGGTCCAGCATGCGAAACGCGATATCGCCCGTCCCGCCGGCGATATCCAGGATATTCCACCCTTTTCCTGTTGTGTCGGTGTTGCGTGATGGGAGCGCAGATCCAGGGTTCAAGGAGCGAACAAAATGATCTTTCCACAGGCGATGGATCCCGAGGGACATGAAATCGTTCATGGCATCGTAGGAAGAAGCAACTGAGCTGAAGACCGCTCCAACTGTACATTACCGGCGTAGCTTGGTCAGTCTTGTGTCCATTGGTTGAGAGGTATATAGTAGCATACCCATAGACTCCTTCTGCGATTCGGGAACGTTGCTAAAGCCAAAATGGGTCATCCGTTCATCATGGTTGGCCTTGTTGGAGTCCGCTTGAGCTCGCTGCGAACAGGAAAAGCAGCGGTAGGGAACCTCGGCGATGGCCGTTCTCCGACGGGCATTATAGCCTAGATTCCTCCATACCGATCGCGACAACATGATGAAGTGTTAGTTATGTAAAACCTGCACTTGAGGTTAATTGAAATACAAAATGGAAGATAGAAATATTGCGCGGAGCGGATATCAGATGAGAGTCTCCGGCACCGTGCTTTTTCTGCCGCCCGATTCTTCACCGCTCACCTTCTGCCGACATCCCGACCCAACCAACTAACTGACTACGAACATCTCTCTGTGGGGCTAGTAGGATTGTCCTAAACAGTAGTACATGTTTCTGTTTTTATTTAATTTTTTATTTAATTTTTTTTATACCTATCTCATTTCGGCAGGCTAATAATTTAGGAATTGCACCTGTCGTTTGTGGCCTTCTTAGTGTTGGCCTTAGCTCACGTTAAACTCGGGTTTCAGGCCAGTAATATTGGCAGGAGATACGAAGATAGGAACCTTTTTGCGGTGGGGGATCTGGTGCAAATAGGTACTCCCACTTCGTATATGTGTATCAAATAGTCATGTCTGTGAAGCAGACAGGTTAGGACACAGCTCGCTCACTCATATGCCACTCAATCGTTCTTCGCAGCCCTTCTTGCAGCGGGATTGTGGGGCACCAGTCCAACACAGCTTTGGCAAGCGAAATCTGTGGTCGACGAACGGCAGGATCATCTGCAGGGAGTGGATGGTAGGTAATGTTGACCTTAGGCTGGTTGGTCATCTCGGCCACGAGACCAGCTATCATCTCGGCTAGCTGCTGGATAGTAAACTCCCCATCGTTTCCGATGTTGACAGGCCCATCACTATAGCCACTGTTCATTAGGCGATAGAGTCCTTCCGTACAGTCCGTGACATATTGAAAAGACCGTGTTGCAGATCCATCGCCGGTGATCTTCATGTCTTCACCCGACAATGCAGCGACGATGAAGCTTGACACGACCCGGCCATCGCTGCCGTTCATCCGTGGGCCATATGTGTTGAAAATACGAGCGATACGGATATCGGCGCCGTGTTGTTCTTGGTAAGCATAGCACAGTGCTTCTGCTACTCTCTTCCCTTCATCATAGCAAGATCGCTTCCCAAAGGGGTTGACATTTCCCCAGTACGTTTCGGGCTGGGGGTGCACTAGGGGATCACCATATACCTCTACACAACGTATTAGGTACACGCGACGAAAGGAGCTATGGGAGTTTGCCTACCTGATGTGCTAGTATGCAACATGCGGGCGTTTTTGATATAGCTAGCTCGAGGACATTTTGTGTTCCCTGAAAGCATGTCCTTAGCGTTGAGACCGGGTCTTTTTGATACTGAATCGGACTGGCTGGGCATGCTAAGTTGTAAATCTGATCGATCTGGCCCACATCCGCCAGGGGCATTTGGATATCTTGACTGTGGACGTCAATACCAAGAAAGCTGGGGTTTGGGTCCCTGGTGTCTATCTTACTTGAGAAGTGTAAAGTCGGGATGGCTCCTGAGGTGCTCTAGGTTCTGAGGAGAACCCGTTTGGAAACTATCCATTGCAATGACTACATGGCCCTTCGCAAGGAGGTAATCTGCAAGGTTGGACCCGAGGAACCCCGCAGCCTGTCAGCGTTAGCCAGGGGCCTTTCTGAGATGACCGGTAGGGGGCTTCCTTCCTTACCCCTGTGATGAGGATTCTCGGCTTGCCGTCCTGACTCGTCATATTAAATCCGTAGCATATACTCTCCAACGAGTAGGGGCCATGGATGGCATGCTTAAGTAGTGGTTCATCGGTCTGCACTGACCCACCCGATCAGCCCCGACAAGACTTTATCTCGTCGCGCATGAAGCTAACCTCAGCTGCCCAGTGCCGACGTAGTGGGGCTGAGGAATGCCGATCGTCGACAAGTGTCACAACTGCCAGGCTTTCCTGATGCGGTGTACACAGTGGCGGGCTGACAATCTGCACAATGACAAATTGACGACGCAAATCCCAACCGCAAGTTTCCTTAGGTCCAACCTTGAACGGTGCGTTCTTTACCATATCCGGCAAGAGTTCATGATCCTTGGGCCGCCCCGAGTGGGCATCTCGATCTCTCTCATATATAATGAGTGGACCATGGACGAGCCCAGGAACACGGCTAGAATGAAGCGAGCGTAATTTTCTCCCCTGGATGTTCAGCTAGGAACCAAACCACTACCAGTCCCCAGAAGCTTCGCCGTCATGATTCGAAAGGTGGCATGTATTGGTGCTGGGTTTGTGGGTGAGTGAGGCACCGGATGCGGCGATGAATTTCCTGTCTAAACGTTCTAGGGGGTCCTCTGGCCACGGTTATTGCCTATCAATGTCCGGACATCCAGGTCACTGTTGTGGACAAAAACAAGGAGCGGATTGACGCTTGGAATACAAGGACCCCTCCACTGTATGAGCCAGGCCTCGAAGATGTTCTATCTAGCGTTCGGCAGCGAGAGACCCAGTGTAATCTTATCTTCTCGACAGATATTGATCACGCCATCCGAGAGGCGGAGCTTATTATGCTGTGCATTGATACCCCTACCAAAGAAAATGGCATTGGGAAAGGGCTGGCATTAGATTTGGCCAACACGCAGGCTGCTGTCAGGACCATAGCGCAGGCCGCAGAGTCGGACAAAATTGTCGTGGAGAAGTCGACCGTCCCGTGTGGAACAGCAGACAAAATTCGGGACTTGGTACGGGTGTTCTTTCTTATTTCTGCTCGGATGTGAAATACTAATGGTACCATGAGCGCAGCTTGAATCGAATTCTAAAACCGGCTGCCAGTTCGAGGTCCTTTCGAATCCTGAGTTCCTCTCCGAAGGAACCTCAATTACAGATTTATTATATCCGACAAAAGTTCTGATCGGCCACCAACAAAGGCCATCGTCGCGCCGAGCAGCTGAAGAGCTGGCTGCGATATACGCCCGGTGGGTATCACCCGAGCTTATAATCACGATGGACCGTTGGTCATCCGAGCTAGCTAAACTGGCCGCCAACGCAATGCTAGCGCAGAGAATCAGCAGCGTGAACTCGTTAAGTGCGATATGTGAAGCGGTCGGAGCAGATATTGAGAGCGTGAGTGCTAGTTGCGGGATGGATCCTCGCATCGGAAAGGGAATGCTGAAGAGCACCCTTGGATGGGGAGGCGGATGTTTTGAGAAAGACATCTTATGTCTTGTCTACTTGGCTCGCAGTCTAGGTCTCACTCCCGTGGCAAATTATTGGGCATCCGTTGTGGAGATGAACGAGTACCAGAAGTCGCGATTCTTTATGCGCATTGTCTCGTCTATGCACGGGAGTGTCGGGGCAAAGTCCATTGCGATATTAGGGTTTGCCTTCAAGAAGAATACATCGGACACGAAGAATTCTGCAGCCATTCCTCTCGTGCAAAGCCTGCTCCAAGAAGGCGCCCTCGTCTCCATTTACGACCCTATGGTTCCGCCAGATCGCATCCTAACAGACGTCAATGCGGCCGGTAGCCACTCCGCATCCGTCCAAGTGAGCACATCAGCGTACGAAGCATGCAATGGTGCCGATGCAGTAGTCATTGCGACCGAATGGGACGAGTTTCAGACCCCGATGCCGACAGGCGACATGCGAATGGCCACGGCAAAGGATACTAGCATCGAGGAGCCCTGGTCTCCACCAAGTACACCAAGCGATAAAGAGGGGAGACTGAACTGGAATTGGATTACGGATCATATGCGTCCGCCCAAGTTTATTTTTGATGGGAGAAATATACTGGACAGGCAGTATCTAGAACAGCTGGGGGCTCGGTATGTTGGTATTGGTAGTGGGTCAGAATATGGATTCCTGGAGAGAGCGACCCATTCTTTATAATTTATGAAATAGTGCTTCGTCAGAGCGTTTAATCAGCTATATCTCTATTATACAATACGACATTTTTGGCGTATGGCTCTGCAGATTGTAGCATAACCCCCAGATTCAGGATGACGCATATCGTTCTTGTCGTAGGGCCAACCATGTATATCTCAGGCACCCTCATAGACCGCGTACTCAGCCTTTCGTTCTTGGGACGGGTCTCATGGAACATTTGCCTATTGGACTCGACATTGAGAGTGGATTTTCGCGATTGTTGCAAGTTCAAGTCGTCCTCAGCATATGATTGGCCAACAGAAGTGAGGTGAATGATTGAAGCCATCGTGAAACATGGAAAGGCGATACATTTGTGAAGGCCCCAGGCATTCAGGACACGGTACCATGGACCAGGCCCTTGTCAACGAATTTCTGCAACACAAGTACTTCCAATTCGATCCTCCCAATAACCACCGGCCGAGAAGTCTTCCGCGATACACTTGCCTTCTAGTTGATTGAAAAGGCTGAGAGAAAAGGTCTTTCACCGGACGATATTGTGGCTACGATTACTCGCATCACAGCTCAAGCGATCGTCGACCACTACAAGCGATATGCGCCTAAGCACCTGGAGATCACCGAGATCTTTATGTGTGGCGGCGGCGCTTACAACCCTAACATCACATCTTATATCCAGCAACATTACACCAATGCCCAGATCGTATTGCTGGATGAGGCCGGTATCCCGGCTGCCGCTAAGGAAGCTATTACTTTTGGTATGGAGGCCATTGTTGGACGCTCTATTCCTGTCCCGACGCGCGTGGAAACACGTCAGGAATATCTCTTGGGCAAAGTGTCCCCTGGCAAGAACTATCGAAAGGTTCTACAGAAGGGCATACTTTTTGGAGCCGGACGCGATTATCTACCACCGGTGAAGGAGTTGTTTAACTATGTGGATGGGAAGGTCTTCGACAATAAATGGCGAAGCACACTGGCCATTATGACCTCTGCTAAGTCTACACTTTATTACACGAAATGCTCGTCACAGTATTCAGAAGTGACTGAATGCATACTGCGCATATTATCTTATCCTGAAATTAGTGCCTACATGCCTGGGTCCGTCCTATTTCTCAAGTGTCTGATTCCACAGACTCTGCACCGTAACCCCCTGCACCCACTTCGCACCAGTATTATCCTCTTGGACCGTAAAGCCAATTTCCTTCTTCTGTCCCGGAAGCAACACGAAAGCATTCTCATCGAAATACCCCACCACATCAGCCGGATAATCGAGCCACGTGTATAACGAGACACCTGATTTAGCCTCTACAGTGAAAGTCTTCGACTTGGAATCATACGATAGTTCAAGTCCGGGATCCACCAAGGCGAGGTCCTTGGGGAAAACTGGCGTGAAGTGGTTCTGGTGGGTGAATGTCGTTTTCTCGTCCGAGTTGGGGAGGTGTCCCTCACCCGACAGAGAGAGAACAAGGATGGCGTCCTTAGAATTGGAGAGCGTAAGATTCTTAACGTTGGTACTGTATACCTTTGTGGTATTGAGCGCCCCCACGTTGAAGGGAACAGAACCTGGTGTGCCTGCATTGTGGGGAAGAGGCTTGCCTGATAAGTCCAGCCAAGTTAGGTTTACCTTGCCCTTTGCCGATTCCCACAGATCTGACGTAACGTAGAGGTCCAGCTCACCAGTGGTGTAGTTCCAGAACGGGGAGACGATGATGGGCTGGTAAATGTCTCTGGAAACGTAGTGAAGGACCTTCCATCGTCCGCCGTATTCGATACCGGCCCATGACGGCGCTTGCCAGATATCTTCCAGTTGCCAGTAGAGGGAGCCGAGTTGTCGCTCGGGCATTCCGCTACCGCGGCGGTAGAACTGGATTTCGGATTTGTACATGTCGGCTTGGAAGAGTTGGGTTGCGTGACACCAGGCGCTGAAGTTGGCGACGGAGTCCAGCTTGTTAGGAATGGGGTAGTACCGCTGCACTGCGATTGTCATTTCGCCCATGCCTAGAGATGTGTTGTGGAAGTTGTCGGTGAAGGTGCCGCCGGCTGGGTAGTGATGGTTCCGAAGCATGACAGTGGTGCTGTTGAAATGGAGATCTTCGGGGTCAACGGCTTGCTGCCAGGTTTGCAGGCTAGGCATGCTGTGGTATCCGAATTCATTGGCGAAGCGACCCACTGGGTAGACATGGTAGTTGAAGGAGACATTACTGTCATAGTTGTAGAAATCAGTGTCGCCATAGTAGGATCCAGGTGTGGTATTGTGATACCGTTCCACCATGGGTACGGGAGCAGACAAGTCGACCTCAATAAAGCCTTCCGTTGTGCTGCTAGGGCTATATGTGATCGACCGAGTGTTTTGGTAAACCAGAGGCAAAATGAGACTGATATACAGTTTCTCGTATTCCCCAACATACTTCGCATACTCTTCAGGGGCCTTACTTTCGACCGTCGGAAGCATCAGTGACTCGATCTCGTTCCCACCTGCCCATAATGCCAGCGAAGGATGATGGTTGACACGGCGAACGTTGTACACGACTTCAGCGGCGATGTTCTCTAAGAACGCATCGTCGACCGGATACAAAGCATCGCTGAATTCGAACTCGCTCCATAAAAGAATACCTCGCTCATCAGCTAAATCGTAGATGAAATCGTGGAGATATATGCCAGATGACCAAACACGGAGCATATTCTGGTTTCCAGCAACGACTGCATCGAACAATCGGGCCATTCTCGCCTCTGTAACACGAGGCCAAAAAGCATCTGGCGGGATGATGTTGGAGCCTTTGGCGTAAAATTCGTGTCCGTTGACTTCAAAATGCCAGTGGGCACCCGGTGCGATGCCTTGGGCAAGCTGGGTATCTGTGATGTTTTGTTGATTGAGGAAAATCGTGCGGAAGCCTGTTCTCTTGGTGACATGGGCCACAGTTTCGTTCTGATGGCCAGTAACAGTGACAGTTATGTTATAGAGATTTTGGTCACCAAGACCCAGTGGCCACCAAAGCTTCGGAGTCACTCCACCAAGGACTGTGACGCCGGTAACAGAATTTCCAGACACAGTCACATTACCTATCCGCTTTGACGTGAGTATCTCACCAGAATCGGTGTCTTTAAATTCAATAGACATAGACGGATTGGGCGGAAGAGAGCCCACAAAGTCAATGCTGGCATTAACGACCCATGGCTGACTTTGGTCAGGCGGAAGATGGTTAATCTGTCCTTTTCGATATATATCTATGTCTGTATTCAAGACATGAATATTTTGCGCCTTGGGTAGTTGCACGATATAAGCAGGCTTCCAAGGTCCTGCGGGTGCAAAGGCAGGGCCCCAATCCCAGCCGAAATCCGACTGTTCCTTGCGCATGAACCATCGGTTCGGATACTCATAAGTCTGCTGTATTCCATCGGGCCATACTAGAGAAGCATGTTAGTACTGTGTAAAAGACAGGGAAATGCCTCTGGTGCTCAAACCTGGTGAGTGAGGATCCTCGGCAATTGCATTCACGATGTTTGGCGCACTGCCAAAGTTAATCTTCAAGACGGGATCCTCGTTGCAGCCCTTCAGAATCTGAGAGATATCGAAAGAGTATTGGCGGTATTGGTTATTCGTTGAAGCGACGTGCTTCCCACAGAACTCGATTGTTGCGAAAGTGTCAAGTCCATCAAAAACGAGCCAGGTAGACTCGGCGTCCTTTAGTCTAGTGAAAATTAGAACGACAAGACAGCCCAAACAACACGGCAGTTACTCACAAGTTCTTGATCCCGTCAGTGGTGTAGGTCCAATTAGACTCCGGGATCCATCGAAGATTAAAATCATTGAGTCCATGATATCTGATGTGGCCCAGTCAATCCGGTGAAATTATCTTTACAGAGCTTCACCATCACTTACGGGTCATCTGCGATGCATGTTAGAGGCATGTATGATATTTCAGATGAAGGAAAGCAGCTCACCAATTACACCAGCCTTCAACAGGTCCAAATGGGCGTGAGATGGAAGACTTCCGGGCACGGTATGATTCAAGGCATCGCTACTGAGAGTCCACTTTTCATTACTCAGATCCCGGACATGCTGGCCCAGTGCAGTAGGTATGCTGGATGCCACCAGGGCCGCGGCCTTCACTGTGAACCGCATTCCGAGACTGCGGGGTTTCTACTAGGCTGGCCTTAGATCCTAGTCAGAAAGGATGGCCGCTTGAGGGGAAACCGGCCCGTCTTTATACTTCGCTAAGTAATATTTGTGTCGCTAGATTTCTACCAGTCATGCAGGACTCCGATATCCGATATCTCCTCCCACGATTCGGATCCCGGTATAGAGTAGACGGAAGCAAAACCGTGTTGAAAAAGGGAAAGTATCATGAGTGGGGGTTGGGGATAGAATGCTTGTATCCACAGTAGCACGATCGCTGCATGAAGTTCTTCCAATGAGATGCGAATGAGAAGGCTGCGGGAGTCCTCACTTGCGGCGGGGAAGCTGATCGGCGGTCGAGGTTGCATAGAGGTCGCCGTCCGGAGGTAGATGTCTCTTGTCTTCCCGGTCGGCTTGCATTTCTAAAGAGATCCCAACAAATTTTTTGCTGCCGGTGAGGTGATCGGATGATGAAATTGGATGGTATAGAATCCCGAAGCCGTACGGAAACGGATTGACCCGTTCAAGTATATGTCCGAGGTGGAGTCCAGGATGTACTAGTATATACTGGACTTGAGACCAATCGTACAGATGGAATTGGGCGACACTAACTCATAATTGTCGTCGGGCAGGATATCCGTCCCCTTCTCAGAGGCGAGACCCATAATCCTCTCCGAACCAGAGCCTGGCAATACAACATGCAACAGTTGAAAGAGAGATGAATGAATAACATATCTACAGGATCAGGTGATCTTATTCAGGGCAAACAGAACAAAATCAACAAACAAGATCAACTCAATGAAATCGATCGGCTAAGCACGGTTCGGCATGACGTTCTGAGCCGAAGCCAACCGCTCCCTCCGCATTCCCCAGAAAGATGCCTTAAGATCAATGACCCCAGGAAATACCCCATGTCCTTTTTCAACTGAGGTTCTCTCGACAATTGTCTTCTCAGATCACTCCCACAATGTCGGCATATCTTCTGAGGCACATATCTCGCAATCCCAGGGTCTTATCCCGGATACCTCAACGATGGAGTAGTTCTATCTCCCAGCGGCCAGGCTCGGACAGGTATGTGAACCTGATAAAAATATCCCCTCTCTGCAAACACAGGGTTTTGTGTGAAAGGGCAATCGGCGCTGATGGAGAAGATACGTCTAGTGTCCGATTTCCTGGCGCCGTGAACAGTAAATTCACCACCGACATGGCGTTCATCAATCCCTCCACAACGACAAATATCCCTACATACCGTGTCATGGATTCTGACGGTGTATTGCTGGACAAGAACCGGAAGCCCTCCGGAGTATCAAACGAAGAGATATTAACGTGGTACAAGAATATGTTGACTGGTAGGTTCCCTTCTCCGCTTTCTCATCATGAATTGTTATTGATAACTTTTAGTGAGTGTGATGGACGTGATTATGTTCGAGGCCCAAAGACAGGGCCGTCTGAGCTTCTACATGGTATGTGACCCCATATTCTGATCCAATTGACGAGACAACATTGAATTAACGCTTTCTCTACAAAGGTGTCTGCCGGAGAAGAAGGTATCAGTGTCGGATCGGCCGCCGCATTAACACCCGACGACGTGGTATTCGCGCAGTATCGCGAAACAGGCGTCTTCCAGCAACGGGGTTTCACTTTGAAGGATTTCATGAGCCAGCTCTTTGCAAACTGCCATGACAACGGCAGGGGACGTAACATGCCGGTGCATTATGGCTCCAACTACCCTCGCATGGTGAGTATAGCACCCTGATACACCCTAATCTACCGCATGGTATACAGTCACAAATACACATTAACCTCTCCCAGCACACCATCTCTTCACCCCTTGCAACCCAGATCCCCCAGGCATCTGGCGCAGCTTACGCCCTCAAACTAGAATCTCTCCAGAACCCCGACACCCCACCACGCATCGTGACTTGCTACTTCGGCGAAGGCGCCGCCAGTGAAGGTGACTTCCACGCCGGCCTCAACATCGCCGCAACACGGTCATGTCCCGTGGTCTTCATCTGCCGCAATAACGGATATGCCATCTCTACACCCACACTGGAACAATATCGGGGTGACGGCATCGCCAGCCGTGGAATAGGATACGGCATTGACACGATCCGTGTCGACGGAAATGATATCTTCGCCGTTTATGAAGCCATGCGCGAAGCACGACGCATTGCGCTCTCCGATGGCGGCAAGCCCGTGCTTATTGAAGCAATGAGCTACCGTGTCTCGCACCATAGTACTAGTGATGATAGCTTCGCGTACCGTGCCCGGGTAGAGGTGGAAGACTGGAAACGGCGCGATAACCCCATTATCCGGCTGCGGAAGTGGCTCGAGAACGAAGGGTTGTGGGACGAAGATACGGAGCGTACTACGCGCGAGCAGCTTCGGAAGGAGGTGCTGAAGGAGTTTGGAGAAGCGGAGCGTGAGCAGAAGCCGCCTCTTCGGGAGCCTTTGAGGGCGTGTATGAGGAATTGACGGAGGAAGCGCAGGAGCAGATGAAGGAGTTGAAGCGGATCCTTGAGACTTATCCTGAAGAATACGACCTCGGGAGTTCAAGGATGGTATCAATGGGTTATAGATTGTCGGGCGATCTGTTTGTGAGCACATAGATCAAGATATCCTGTATAGCATGAATTCAATCATGGAAAAGCCTTCTATTGCCTTGATTCGAGTCTTAATCGGTATTGTCAACCTTGACCGAAGGCGTGACTAGGGTAAGCCTGAAGGCTATGAGCGAAGAGAAGTATTAGGTTGTAGCATGTGGTACACAAACGAATGTATGTCCATTGCTAATTGCAGAGCCACTGAGCTGGACTTTGAAAACCTCTATGTAACTTCCCACGTTTCCTTGATAACCGGATACAAAACAATGTCTTTTCAACGGATGCGCTTTTTGAGCCCCCCAACTCCAAGCATGTAAAAACAACGCTCATGAGTTTGTACAGTAAATAATACATAGTTTACAATTCCACAGGGAAATCCCCATGTCTTTATTTTACAGATTCAAGGATAGCCCTGCCCAAGTTCCCTCAAGGCAGCTCATCCCTCAACAGAGGTGGCCAAAGCCTGCTGTGCGAGCTTCTTGTTCCGCTTGACCAATGCATTGAGTTTTTTGTCAATGGAGTCAAGGTCTTTGCGCGATGATTCAAGTTCCTTCTGCGACTTGGCAGCAAACGTACGAAGCTCCTCATCTGTCATTCCAACCACATCATCCAGATCCGGCATATTGCCCATGACGACACCTGCAGCTCCCAGCATATGCTTGGCGGTGGCTGCGGCAAAGGACCGAACAGAAGTGGCAGTGGCATTTACCAATTCAGCGGTATTGGCAATAGCCCAATTGTGACTGCGAGTGCTGTCCGCCTCCATGGCTGAGAGAACGTTTGGTGGCGTAGGAGTATCAGAAGGAACTGCACAGTCAGGTATAGTCATATCGCCAGAGTGCGATGCAGACGAAATCCCAACCGACGTTTCACCGACCCAGCATATATTAAAGTTTTCCGGTGTAGCAAAAAGAGCATCAAGCCCACCACCACGGTTTGTCACGTCGGGTTCCGTGATTGACGTCGGCGGATACTCGGGGAAGGGATCAATGGAAGCGCTGATGCGTTTCTCAAGCTCAAGATAACGTTCTTCTTCCTCTGGACCCAAATGACGAAGAACACAGCCGCGAGGAGTGATTAAGCAGCGATACTTAGTCAAATTGGAGTCAGAGTTGATCCGAACTGGTTCTCCACGCAGCAATGCTTTGCGGTGTTCCTCGGTCAACTCGACAGGCTGCTTCAAGATTTCATAATCATCCGCAGTGCACTTCATGTCCACACGTTGGGCCAAATTAGGTGGGTTAAACAAGGGATGGGCATGGAGATCCAGATTGCCCGCCTTGTGGAGCTGAGCGAGCAGTATTGGCAGGACAGATGTTCGCTCCGAGAACAACTCTTTGATTGGAACAGCAGCAGCTTCTGAATCCTTGATCAACTGCTCAATAGTGTTGTTAGAACGCCACGCTTCTGCTGCAGTCTTCTGTGCAGGGGCCTCCTTCTCTTCGACAACGCTAGGCTTAGTATCCTTCGCAGCCTTATCTTTCGACTTGTTCTTCTTCGTTTCAGCCCGCTGATCAACCTTGTCAGTAACTTCTTTCCCACTAGTATTGGGCTTCGCGGCTTCGTTGGTATTGTCCGGCGTTGCGGCAGTTGACTCAGGATTGCTTGCCGGGGTCTTCTTGGTCTTCCGCTTCCTTCCAATAATAGGCGCCTGCACTGGCTCCTCAACAATAGCAGACACCGCCTCATGCTTCTTGGCTTCCATCTCCTTGGCCTTCTGTCTACGTTCTTTCTTGGCTTGGCTCTTAGTCATGGAGCGTACAGGTGCAGAGCCAATCCTAGATGATGCAGGAGGAGAGTTTGCGCGAGAAACGGACGCCGACGTATACAGATCAGCTTCCGATCCAAAGTCACCAGGAGTATCAGGCCTGCTTATGGAAGATACGCTGGGTCTTCTCGATCGTCCCTTAGCCATGGCAAGCTGGGATGATATGGATTGAGTGGCTGAGGCAGGAGGGGGAGTCTCAGTTTTCGGAGTATCAACAACACGAAGAACCCTGGGTTGACGTGGAACCGAGGAGTCAGAGACACGTGAAACTCCAGTCAATGGTGTATTTGGGCGAGAACCGATGGCACTCTGGGCCAATTGCTCGCCTTTCAAGGGGGTGCTATCCAGGACTTGAGACGTATTGAGTGGGATATCCAACTTCATAGGCTTCCCCTTTGCCGTCGTAGAGGCTGACTTCTCTTCAGTGATACCCCCTGACTTTTTGCTTGACTTATCATCAGAGGCAACTGTCAGGTCATCCTTGGGTTGGGAGCGAGCTTTATTAGCTGACTTTGGTACTGGCGACCCCAAGGATATTTCAGAAGCATTTTTAGCTCGATTTGAGATGGCTCCATGATCCTGTGTGCTTTTCATGTCCGGCGACTGCCGGCCAGAGATGGTCTCCTGGAAGCTCTGGGAAGGAGTCCCAAGCCTGTTGAAAGGAACATTCAGACCGGGTGGAAGAGAGACAGCGGAGACCGGGCTGGAAGGATTTAATGGACTCTGAAATAATGCAGACGCGGGATGGGCATGAGGTAAGGGAAGACCTGGCGGTAAGGTTGGAGTTCCGGCGCGTGCGGAGCTTTGAGGTTCAGTAGAAAAATGTGATCGGCCTAAGAATCCAAAGCTGTCCACCGGGCGTTTGTCCTTTGCGGGGGCGCCGAGAGGGGGAAATTCTTCATCAACTAGTTCACATATGTTAGCATACGTTTGCAAACATGTGTGGATGGGAGGAGGTCTGTCGGGAGGAATGCGTAGGCAGAGGAGCGAGAGAAAACCAGCGACATCACCAGAAGCAAGGAAGACACTAAAGCAAATCGGACACTAAGAAGGAACAAGCGGGCAGCAGGCTCTCCACAACACGGGAATAAGACAAGCGATACGACAGGGCAGGCAGCTTAATTACAAAAATGGCCCGGCCATGCTGACCTGGCAAATACAAATGATAAAGATCTCTATATGAACAGTAATTGTGAGAGATTGGTTTCAAATAGAGGGCCCTTCTTCGTTATAACAAAGCCAGGGCAGGGAGGTTAACGTACATAAAGTCATGACCAGAGGGAATCGGCCACCAAGACGCTGATATATCAACCCAGCTTGGATGCAAAAAGAACAGACATACGATGTCCAGCCAACCAATATGGGCCCAGAAGACACGAAGTGTCTATGAAATGCGCCGAGGCCTCGCATCCACGGGGAATATTGGAGGACAGGAACGATTATGAACGGAAAAAAACAAAAACAGAGGTTGAATAAACATAACGCCAATGGTACGCCTAGCCCGAGAATCTTGTTCTTTTCAGAGCCGATTGCTTAATGCTTCGTTGCAGAGTGGAAATATGTCGCAAAGTTTGAACATCGAATCAAATATGAGAACTGAACAAAACGCATATCCTGCCCCCCATCTAGAGAAACATGATATCATGTCGTGAAGTTAAGGAGAAACACAATTCGCATAAAGGGGATAGAAAAGGGTAGTCATCATAATAACAGGGAAAGAAATGAGAACAGAGAATATTATAAGAAGGCGAACAACCATCACCAGCGGTTGAAGCCGCCTCCGTACATCATAGTGTGATTGTACCCACCTTGACCCTGACTCCCATAAAGCGCTTGCCCAGCAGCAGCATTCGCACCCACCTGGTGCATCCTCGCCTGCAGGATACTCGGGTCCGCAAGATCTACTACACCGCCTCCACCGGAGGAAGTGTTAGCGTGTCTGTGCTTCTTCCCCTTCTTCTTCTGCTTCTGTGGCCCAGACTCGGAGTAGTTTCCGGTCTGAGAGCCATAGAAAGAGCTGAGAAGGCCATTGGCAGGAGTCAGGGGAGGGGGAGTTTGGTGCTGTTGGAGGAAAGGAAACATGAACTCACGCTTAGCGGCATCCGGTGCCTGTAAACCACTAGCATTTGTGCCACTACGGCTCCGCAGAAGCTCGCGCATCAAATCCGGGTTGGCCTCCTGCTTCCCAATACTGCCAGCCAAACCAAGATTAGAATTTGTTGTAAAACCGTGGCCTTGAGCGAACATTCCTCCTCCACTAATGGGGGGCGTGCCGGCCGTCTTCAGGCCTGGAGGTGGACCCTGAACGCCGCTGGTGTAGAAGCTGCTAGTAAGCCCATGTTGAGGACTGGGCGCAGCAAGTGGGTTAGGGGTCCCGGATTGCATCAGGGAAGCCTGCTGGCTTAGCATACGTGCGTTGGGAAGATTCTTCGATCCAGCATCATTAGTGAAGGAAAAGCGAGAGTTTTGGCGGTTCTGCGCCTGCAAAGCGTTAAGCTGTGCCATCTGGGTCTGCAAAAGGCCTTGGCGAACAGCAGCCTGGTCCAAGGCAGCAGAGGCAAGTCCACCCTGCAATGGGTCCACAATGCCGGCCTGTTGATTGCTAGCAGATTTGAGTAGCATCAGTTGTTGCTGTTGGAGAGGGGTCAAACTCCGGCCAGCTAGGTTCAGTCCATGGAACTGATGACTAGACGCAGAAACTGGGGAGCCGACCACCGAGTTTGTTGTAGTACCCTGCTGTGAAGGCGGCTGGATAGCACCATGTGACTCCCGCGAACCACGACCTCTTGCAGGGTGGGCTTCATCCGGCTCGCCACCAAGTTGAAGGCTGCCGCTCTCCCTTGTTTCTTCTTCAACAGCTGCCGATTGAAGCAGCTCTTGATCTCGCTTTGCACGCTCTTGCTCTGCTTTCTCCCGCATTGCCCGACGCTTTACGCCACCATAAGGATCAATAAATGAAGGGTGATTCTCGATGAGAGCAACTTCATCTGCGGGCAGACCAGCCGCCGAAAAGATAAACTTGAAATCAGGAGAATTAACGGCCTTGATCAAATTCTCAAATAGAGGTGTATCCGCGTCAACGGGCGGTTGGGGTTCAGAGGGAG